GTATCCTTATCAATGGAAGAGACAAAATTACCATGTTGATGCATATTAATTTATTCCGAGTACTTTCGACATTAGCTTAATGTCATCATCCGGGTGTTATTTTTTTCTAAGACAAAATTATTGTGTTCATCTGAAAGTTTTTTTTTTTAAATGTGAAGTCAGAAACGCTATGTTTATGTACTGTGCTGTTTACATTTCACGATACAATTACCTCTAAAAGTATTGGAGTGACAATTCCTTTCTTTTTGTTGTTCACTGAAGATATTTGGATTCATGGTCAAAAGTTGAATAGAAGACAATTGCTCAGAAATCCAGTTTTTATTTCCTGATACTTGCTTTTATATGTGTTAAACAACTTAGGATGTATCACCTTTTGTTAGAACCCATCTATTTTTCAAGTGAGCAGAACTATTAGAAAACATGACTGACAGGTGTTTCTTCTTGCCCAGGTGTGGTCTTTTAGACTTATTGTTTAAACATTAAACAGCTCTGAATTACTACTCTTGGTTTTAGACTTGGGTTTCACCTGTAAATACCGTATTTCTTGTTAAAAAGGATAGACCAACATGAAGACGAGAGAGCTGTCTATGTGTGAAGCCATTGAACAAACATTGGGCAACGCAACAATTTGGTGACCTGGAAAGAAAGAAACTCCTGGAGTACTGAGCAACAGACATAGAACAGGTCGGCCAAGAAAAACAACAGCAGTTGATGACATAAACACTGAGAGTTGTGAGGAAAAAAAAACAAAACTACAGTCAGTGACATCACCAACAACCTCCAGTGTACAGGGGTGAAGGTTTTACAATCCACCTTTCGAAGACTTCGAGAGCAGAAATATTGCGCCTACACCACAGGATATAAACCACTCTTCAACATTAAGAGTCAGAAGGCCAAATTGGAATTTGCAAGTAAGCACAGAAATGAGCGATAAAGATTCTGGTAGAAAGTTTTATGGTCTGATAAGACCAAGTGTAATCCCTACCAAAGTGATGGAAAAGCAAACATTTGGAGTAAGAAAGGCTCTGTTTATGATACAAAGCATACAAGCTTATCAGTGAAGCATGGTGGATACAGTGTCTTGGCTTGGGATTGCATGGCTGCCTCTTGAACAGGCTCATTCATATTTATTGGTGATGTAACTCATGATGGTAGCAACAGAATGAATTCAGAAGTCTACAAAAACGTTTCGTCTGCCAATTTACAGAGAAATGCATCCAAAGTAATCAGGAGGAAGTTTATCACACCTCAGAACAAGGGCCCAAAACATATTGTTAACGCAACAAAGGACTTCAACAGGGGGAAAAAGTGGAAAGTTTTAGACTGGCCAAGTCAAATGAAACATGAAGAAACTATAGGTGTACTGAACAATAGACACAGAACAGGTCGATCAAGTGAAACAACAGCAGTTGATGATAGAAATATTGTTAGGGATGTGAGGAAAAACCCCAAAACAATAGTTAGGTTCACATCGGAATTCCCTGTAGGCTATATACAGTCCCCTCGAAAAGTATTGGAAGAGCAAGGCCAATTTATTTGTTTTTCTTGTTCACTGAAGACATTTGGATTTAGGAGGAAAACCCCAAAACAACAATCCGTGGCATCACCAACAATCTCCACAGTGCAGGGGTGAAGGTTTCAAAACCCCCCTTTTGAAGAAAACTTTGAGAGCAGAAACATAGAAGCCATACCACAAGGTGCAACCCACTCAAAAGCAGTAAGAATGGGAAGACCAGATTGTTATTTGCAAAGAAGTACAGAGATAAGCGACAAAAGCTCTGGAAGAAAGTTTTATGGACTGACGAGTCCAGGATTAATCTCTATCAAAGTGATGGAAAGGCCAAAGTCTGGAGAAAGAAAAGATCTGCTTATGATCCAAAGCATTTATCTGTGAAACATGGTGGAAACAGATTCTTGGCTTGGGATTGCATGGCTGCCTCTTGAACAGACTCATTCATATTTATTGATGATGTAACTCATGATGGTAGCAGCAGAATGAATTCAGAAGTCTACAGAAACGTTTCGTCTGCCAATTTACAGTGAAATGCATCCAAAGTAATCAGGAGGAAGTTTATCACCCATCAGGACAAGGACCCAACTCATACTGCCAACGCAACAAAGGACTTCACCAGGGGAGGGGGAGGGGATTGTTTTAGACTGGCCAAGTCCATCACCGGACATTAATCCAATAGAACATGCATTTCAACTCCTGAAGAACAGACTTAAAAACGGATCTTGAGTCACAACCTGACTCAGTGGGGAGTCAAGTAAATCAGCCTATCCTTCAGGGGTGGGTATACACATACTAATACTTACCTGTCACTTGAATCCGTCCCTGCGCTGATGCTATCACGGCTAAGACTAGCTTGACCGGCTCTGGCCAGCTTGAAACAGTTATGACAAGCCGAGGCCAGCTATGACTAGTTTAGACCAGCTTGGACAAGATAAGACCAGCGGCCCGAGTGAAAACACTCGGGTCCCCACTTTAAAATCTGACCTTATTTCACAACCAGACTCAGTGTTCAAGTAAATATCTACTTACCTGTCACAGGGATCATCCCTGCGTTGGTAGTATCACAGCTATGACCAGCTTGGACAAACTATGACCAGCTAAGACCAGCGGCTCGAGTGAAGACACTCAAGTCCCCACGTTACAAACAGACCATGTGTCACAAACTGACTCAGTGGGTGGTCAAGTAAATACCGTGTGTAAATCCCCGTAAATCGTTCGTAAATAAAGTATTATTGCTGAGCTTTTAAAAGGTAATCTTAAACATTAATTCAGTACTTAAATGCAGCGATCAATTTTGAGTTCTTATGTAGTTCATTGATGCCAATCGAATCTACTCCTCCCTAGATATTGTGATGATGGTCAAACCACGAGTCCTCTACAGGAGCTAGCTTAAATGACGCCCGATTTTAAGCTAGTTGCAATTTTGGATACAAAAGGAGAATAAGAGTTACTCCCCTTGAACTATGAAACCAACGATAATGGCAAGTATATTGTATTAATATGTATTTTTAACCCCGCATAATCTGGCAACCCTGAATCTGAGCTCAATGAAAACCGTTCCCTGCACCTAAGTTTTCTATGGCTTTTGAATGAGCCATGAATCATTGAAATCGGACCAGTGGGAGCGGAGGAGTTTCTTGGACACACACACATACACTGTACTTTATATGTAAGATGTGAACGTTGATTGACTTCTCTCTCAACTATTCCCCACGGGTAGTAGCCCAACAGATTCAGGTTTGGAGAATTTATATACCATAAGTTTTTGAGTGACCTGAAGAGTGAAGATTATAACTCATCCATTATTGGGTCGTATTCGTCATGTGAGATAGCGCACACTTGGTGGGTATACGGTCTTTTCGTCAACCTCAATATCCAAGGCATCTCAACCCTATGCAAACCTCTCCTTATAGTCAGCAACATATAGTCTTAAACCCTGAGTAAATATGTCATGACATTATCTGTCTATATTTCTTAGATGAGTTATTGTCCTCATCTTTGTTGCCATATTTATCACAACGTTTCGGCCGATGTACGCTCCGGTCATCTACAGGTGGATGGAATGTCGAACTGATCCCTTAAGGACACGTCACAGTGGATAAAAGCGTTGGTTAGATCCAGTGACATGACCCAAATAGTTGTGAGTTCAATACCTGGTTAAGGCAGTGGAGAACCTGGAGAGGGGAATTAACAGGAATTGTTGCCCGGTTTCAGCTTCAGAGACACGGGGTCGTATTATAATGAAGTCGTAACATGCACGAGATAATGTGGTAAGATTGTAATCTAGGGATCTAAAATTAAAATTTTTTTTTTTAAATGGAAAACTTTTCTTCAAGCTTTTATCATTGCTAATTTCAAACTAATAGATTAAATTTTGTCTATATTTCTGAGATGATTTATTATGTACACTATTTACATTGTTTGGACTATAGTCCTCATCATTGTTACCATATTTATTACAACGATTCGGCCTTTCAGTATCTGTCTATATTTCTGAGATGAGGTATTATGTACACCATTTACATTATTCGGACTATTGTCCTCATTATTCGTTTTGGCCTTTCAGTATCTGTCTATATTTTGAGATGAGCCATATTTATTACAACATTTTCGGCCTTTCAGTATCTGTCTATATTTCTGAGATGAGGTATTATGTACACCATTTACATTATTCGGACTACTGTCCTCATCATTGTTACCATATTTATTACAACGTTTCGGCCTTTCAGTATCTGTCTATATTTCTGAGATGAAGTATTATGTACACCATTTACATTATTCGGACTATTGTCCTCATCTTTGTCACCATATTTATTACAACGTTTCGGCCTTTAAGTATCTGTCTATATTTCTGAGATGAGGTATTATGTACACTATTAACATTGTTCGGACTATTGTCCTCATCATTGTTACCATATTTATTACACCGTTTCGGCCTTTCAGTAGCTGTCTATATTTCTGAGATGAGGTATTATGTACACTATTTACATTGTTCGGACTATTGTCCTCATCTTTGTCGCCATATTTATTACAACGTTTCGGCTTTTCAGTATCTGTCTATATTTCTGAGATGAGGTATTATGTACACTATTTATATTATTCGGACTATTGTCCTCATCGTTGTTGCCATATTTATCACATGGCACAGTGGATAAAGTTGTTGGTTAGATCCAGTGACAGGACGCAAAAATGTGTGAATTCAATACCTGGTTAAGGCAGTGGAGAACTTGGAGAGGAGAATTAACAGGAGATATCTGATAACTTACATGCATTATACATGGCACGTGGATCTAGAACAGTCTACGCCAGCGAGAGAAATAAACGGTTCAGTTCGACCTTCCAACTTCCTGAAGAAGGCCGGAGCGTCCAATAGTCCGAATAATGTAAGTCATGACCTCTGTCTCGTTGCTCACGACTCCCAGTATCATTACAGTTTTCATCGGAATGTCTGTAGGGTTTCGGCATCATCATCTATTATTCCGACGGTTGACTTTTTGGTTCTGATCAAAGGTTTTTCTCATTAAAGAAAAAACTGATGCATCCCCGGTTCTTGATGATTCAACCTGCCCAACAAGCAGTGATCAAACGGTTATCTTTTGTCTGTACTGGCATGAATCATCCCCTCCGCATCGCATATTAATTGTATCGAAGAGCCTCATGCACAATTCTTCCGAGTGAGTGACTTGAAACCTTGAGCTCCTTAGCAATGGTGTTATTAGGTTGGTGCAAAATAAGGACGTAATAATGTCGTTTTTTGACGTTAAAAAATACGTCAAAAAACGACATTATTACGTCATTATTTTTGCACCAACCTAATAATTGACTTTCTGGCATTATTAACGATAATTTCTGATTCTTCCGTATACATTCCGGTGTTGCGATGGTATTAGGACACTTAGCAAGCATTTTACGCTTGACTCCTGCTGTAGAACCTCGGTCAGCGGCTTCCGGCTCTTTGCGAAGTTCGATAACAAATGACCGTGCAACTTTCAGGAGAAACTATTCAGAGATACGAGAAGAGATGAAGTACAAGGCCACACGGGCTCCAGGTTCCAGTGTCTTCCTGTTCACGAAAGACATGACACTGGTGTCGTATGTGCCCAACACCCCTTCCAGCAAGAAAATTGTCTTCCTCATGTCTTCAATGCATGGAGATAAGTCCTTGGCCAGCAGTAGAAAGCCAACCATCATTGAGGACTACAACAGGACGAAATGAGGAGTGGACGCTTTCGACCGAATGTGTGGTCAATATTCATGTGACAGGAAGACAAAGAGGTGACCGCTCTGTGTGTTCTATAGCATTCTGAAGGCTGGGGTCATCAACTCCTGGATCATCCATGGGGAAAATATACAGAAGACAGGTGTCAGACAGATAAAGAGGAAGCAGTTTATGCCGGTGTTGGTTTAGGAACTGGTGAAACGCTGGGCAGTGCATCGCCTCTCAAGTCACACTCTAACGCGACAGCTCAAGGATCATATATGCACTGTATTTGAGCTGCCCACTCCCCCTGGACCTTCAAGAGTTTCTGGACTACCTGCAGCAGACATGAGGGAGTCTATGGTGCGCTGTGTTGTCTATCTTACGAAGGCAGACAAAAAAAACACGCTTCTGGTGTGTGTCCTGTCAACGAGCTATGTGTCCCAAACATTATTACATCATGTGTAGCAACTGTATATGACGCTGAGGTAAGTAGAAATGCGCCTGAAGACTTTACTTACTTGTACATAATAAATAAATAGTCAGTTGCTACAGTCATTTTAGTTAAAAAATTATTAATGTAAAAAAGTGATTTTTGTGGTAGATAAAATAAGGCCTTTTTTTACGTCACATCCCTACAGAAACCGCAGGAGTTAGGGACCAGTACCCACTTCAGCAGTGGCTCACCGGACCTGGAAAGCCATATGAGGAGTTTGGAAGTCATCGGAGAATAATTTTTATAATATATATATTTATTTTGAAGAATTTTCCTATTTTTAATTACAATTTTCAGTACCTCATTTTCTTAACTAAAAAATGTTTTTTTTTTAGTTCCTGTTAATGTCAACTTAAAGTACAAAGTTTGAATTGTCTGCATCTAAAATATTTCAAATAAAAATTTATATTTATTTATTTTTTTTTTTTGTCGATATTTTCAAAATCAGGTATGATACACCCATGGTTAGTAGCGGTGTAACTTTAATTGATGGTTAGTGTTCTAGGGTTAAGGCGACTATTTCAGCGTTCCGTTTCGCTTGCTGAGTTTACTTGGTGTTTCTCATAACTTATCTGCAAAGAAATGATAATCCGAACAAGTTAGAAAACGGTTAAATCTATTAAAATCGTGTCGTCGAAGAAGTGAACAACCCTGTCCTCTCCAAGAACCTTTCGATAATAATCCAAATACGCGAGCCTCTAAACATGTAGAGCAAAATAACTTGATTTCGAGTAATTTACTGTCGAGCAATTGATTTTGAGCAATTTACTGCCAAGCAATTGATTTCGAGCAATTTACTGTCGAACAATTGATTTTGAGCAATTTACTGCCAAGCAATTGATTTCGAGCAATTTACTGTCAAGCAATTGATTTTGAGCAATTTACTGCCAAGCAATTGATTTCGAGCAATTTACTGTCAAGCAATTGATTTCGAGCAATTTACTGTCGAACAATTGATTTTGAGCAATTTACTGTCAAGCAATTGATTTCGAGCAATTTACTGTCGAACAATTGATTTTGAGCAATTTGATTTTCGAGTAATTTACTGTCAAGCAATTGATTTTGAGCAATTTAATTTACTGCCAAGCAATTGATTTCGAGTAATTTACTGTCAAGCAATTGATTTTGAGCAATTTACTGCCAAGCAATTGATTTCGAGTAATTTACTGTCGAGCAATTGATTTAGAGCAAGTTACTGTCGAGCAATTGATTTCGAGCAATTTACAGGATATTCTTTCAGGTGATTAATAGAAAGCAGTTTTGGAGGCAACCAAATTGTTATCATTTTAGAATGGAGTCCATTCTTTTATAACAATACAGTGTTAAATCGATCCCTGACTTTTTCTGGAGTTATCGGAACTGATCAGTTTGTAAATGTTCTGTTTGAAACTCTGTTCATATCTTTGACATCTGCGTGTCCGCCCCCACAAAAAAAAACACAAAGCAAGAACATTTTTTTTTATTTTACAAAATTATCGCTTTTAAATAAAGAACAGTAACATAGATTTTTAAGAAAATTAACTATTTTAAGAAAATAATTCAAAACAAACATGTATATGGTGAAACAGATTTTTTGTAAAAAAATATTTTGATCATTAAAAAAAATCAAACAGATGTATACATTTTTAAAATTGTGCCAGTTTTTTTTTTAATTAAAGAAAATTCTACATGAGTTAACAAAAGTATTAGAAAAATATGCAAATGTCAATGACGTAAGCACGCTTTCAAGGCATAATATTTGTAAATAAAAAATAAGTTCAGATAACTCTGTAAAAGTCGAGGGTGGATCAATTTGGCACAGTAGGAATATTATGAACTAAAGAATGCTCATGTACAAAAATTTCCTTATTCATAATGAGAAGACTAGAATATTTGAACGGTGTCACTAGAAATGACTTACTGTCGATCAATTGATTTCGAGCAATTTAGTGTCGATCAACTGATTTCGAGCAATTTAGTGTCGATCAACTGATTTCGAGCAATTTACTGTCGATCAATTGATTTCGAGCAATTTACCTAGATCCATCAGAAAGACGCCTTTCTGCCTCCCTAAGGCATGGCTGATGCTAACCTCCAAGCCAGTGATTCGTTTCGCTTCCCTGGATTAACGTTCTCTACTGACATGAAGTGGAAAGATTATATCGAATCAATCGCTAGGTCTTTTGCTAGAAAAATTGCTTTACTGTGTCGTGCTAGAGAAATTTCTCTTTCCAGAATCTATCTTAGATATTTATAAGTCTACCATTCGTCCTTTTGCTTTGAAAATTGCTACCCCACATGATCTGGAGTTGTATATTTAGACACACTCGATAAAATCCAAAGAGGAATCTGCAATGTTATTTGTCCTAACCTGATATCACTTTCCTACCGGTGTAATGTCACGTGTCCTTGTCACTTTTCTATAAATAATTTCACGATAAATGTTCGGATGAACTTTGCTTTATGGTATCTAGATTTTAAGAATTTAAGTGCTGTACTAGTTTGGCTGTTAGGTCTCAATATTTTACAGTTGAATTGGCTAGATGCAACCGTGATTTCTTTGCTAGCTTCATCATTTTACAGTTGAGTCGGTTAGATGTAACCGCGCGTTTTATGCTAACAGTTTCTTCTATCGCACTTCTCGCCTGTTAAACACTCTTGCCACTTCTTGCTTTCCAGTCAAGTCTGATGTCAGTTGTTATCTACTGTCTTCTTGATTCCTCTTCTTTTATTTTTCTCTCCGAAATCAATATTTCTTTATTCTAATTAATGTCGCGGCTTAAGTAAGATCTAAAGTGTACTGATCTCCACTTAGTATTCCATAAAAATGTTATCCCTATTTTTATTTTATGAGTGGGCCTTCTACGTAAGTAGTTCCTACAAAATAGTTATAAAAGCATTTTTTTTTTCAATTATGAACAGGGATCGAAACCGAAGATGAACGTTTGTCATCGTAGAAAATGAAATCGGCAAGAAAAGTTGAAATCCCACCTAGACGCTTTCGAATAAATTTCTTCGAGGTAATTTACGAATCTACCTATTATCAATTCCCCGGCTATGCGTTAAACAGAAGTATAGACTGAGATTTCTGGTCTTGCGTGAGAGCCACCTTGTGGGAGCAGACTAAGGAGAACAGCACGAGGAGGGGGTAACGCAAAAACCACTCCACTATCTTTCCCATGAAGTCATGGTAATTCGTATATACTAACAGGGAGAAAGAAGCACGCACAGAATATAAACAATTGATAATATTGTATCAGTCTGCACTTTATTAGCATGCACAGAATATAAACAATTGATAATATTGCGTCAGGCTGCACTATATTAGCATTCACAGAATATAAACAATCGATAACATTTCATCAGGCTGCACTATATTAGCATTCACAGAATATAAACAATCGATAACATTTCATCAGGCTGCACTATATTAGCATTCACAGAATATAAACAATCGATAATATTTCATCAGGCTGTACTTTTAGCATTCACAGAATATAAACAATCGATAATATTTTCATCAGCACTATATTAATTCACAGAATATAAACAATCGATAACATTTCATCAGGCTGCACTATATTAGCATTCACAGAATATAAACAATCGATAATATTTCATCAGGCTGCACTATATTAGCATTCACAGAATATAAACAATTCATTATTGTGAAAGAGGTTGCACGGTATTAGCATCCACAGAATATAAACTATTGCCCATGTTGAATCAGGTTTCACGTTATTAGGATTCACATAGTATAAACTATCGACTATCTTCATCAGTCTGCACCGTATTGCTATCCACGGTATATCAACAATTGATTAGCTTGCATCAAGTTTCACGATATTACCAACCACGGTATATAAACAATTAAATGTCTTGCATCAATTAGCACGGTATTAACATCCTTAGAATATAAACAATTGATAATCCTGCATCGGGTTGCATGGTATGAACACGTACAAAACATAAACAATTCATTATTGTGTATCAGGCTGCACGGTATTAGCATTCATAGAATATAAATAATTGTCGAGCATAAATTTGCTTGGCATTAGCATCCAGAAAATATAAGCAATTAACTATGTTGCTTCTGGTTTTACGTTCGTATTATCTACATAATAAAAACTATTGTCTATTTTGCATCAGGTTTCTCGGTATTATCATGCACAGAATATAAATAATTGACTATCTTGTATAAGGCACGTAAGTAAATGTAATGGATTCGACTGGAATTCAAAAACAGGATATATTTGGCAGTATTTAACTTTCGGACCTTGTATGTCAAAGGGACGAGTATTCCCTTGACACCGCTATTCCTGTATAAAGTTTTGTCTTCCGAGGCAATGTTTATTGTATTAGAATCTACATAAACTAAACAATTGACTATATACCATCAGGTTGATCCACTAAATATAAAAAGAATTGACGGTATTAGCATCCACAGTTATCAATTGATTATTTCACGGTATTAGCATCCACAGTCTATAAACAATTGATTATCTTGCATAAGCTTGCATGGCATTAGCATCCACATAAAATAAACAATTGACTCTCATCAGGTTGCATGGTATTTCAAGAAATTTCTATGAGCTCGTGATTTGCAGAATACTTGAAGAAGTTGGAAAGTCCATTCTGGGTCTCTGATTTTCAGACAGTGACAGACCATCGATGCCCGGGTATTATTTTGCAAGATGAAGACACCATAAAATATCGTATTATTGACGTTGCCCTATCAAATGACACATGTATAGCAAACAAG